AAGAAGATGTTGAAGCATAAAACAGGGTCATAAATATTACGGCACATGCGTTTTGGACCCCTTTGAGACCTGACGATGTTCTGTGCTGAGACTCGACCACGTCTTGAAGATTTTGAGGTTGACCAGCAATGTTTATTTTTACCTCTGATAGTTCTTCGTGACGGAGTTATTATTCGACGAGAAGCTGTTGAGGGAGTTCCTTGATCAGAGCTTTCTTCCCCCATGGGGTCAATTTCGAAAGAAGTTGCTGCTTCTTCTTCCCTCACTTCGTCCACAAAATCTTCTTCCTCATCGCTCTGGATGTCATCCTCGCTCTCGTGGTCTTCAACTTCGCTGTCGGTATCAGCATAGGGTGGCTCCTCATCACTATCTAAAAGAGCGGCCAGGATGTGGTCTTCATCCAAATTTCTAGTCCCCATTATGGCTTAGCAGTATCACGATAACTAAAAAATAAAAACAATATCAGAAATAAATAAAAATAACTAATACAATAAAAAAACAACACAAATAACCATTTCACCAAATATCGTAAAAGTCACGTAAAAGATAATCATACGTAATTTTGACTCCTTTGACTATCGTATCTCAAAATGGCGGGCACTTACCTCAATGACGCGATTGCCCCACGCTAGGTCCCAGCGGTGAATGAAATGTCTGAAAAGCACGACGCCGGATTCGCAATAATTAAAAAGAGACGGCAGTATTTTGCTCGCGTGGGAGTCATTTTGACGTAGATCATCTTTCTAGGGTTAAATACTTAAATTTATATTGTTTTGTGAAATGTGACACAATTAAATTTAAAGCAACTAATGAAAATATTACTTTGGTGTAAATATAAGTCTAATAATACAACTTTAAATAAATCAGTTTACACTCTTATTTATTATCCCAAGAGCTGTGTTACGGCAGGTTACCTTTTGACCGCCACGTCAGAAACGCATTGCCGTGTCCTGTACGCCAAAGCGAAACGAAAAAAATAGTGTTGCCAAGAGTTGATATATCGATAACACAAAATAAATTTTTTTTGTTGGTTTTTTTATGCAACAAATGACTTTATAATCTGGTATGTTTTATTTAATCTTGTGCTGTCTTCCTCTCTTTTTATATTTGTACTTTGTACATAAATAAAAAGCAAACAATATCAATAAAATAGTGTAGTAAACCACAGCACTACTATCCATCGTGATGATGTCACTGTCACGACTGGACGACAACGGCGTTGCTGACCTTCCTTTTTGAAACTTTCTTAGAGATGTAGCCGTGTCGCATGTTGTGTATCGATTTTGAAATCGATCTAATCAAAATATACAGACATCGATTCAAAATATTTTATGTGTCGAAGGAGGCGTATGCCAAGTGAAGCACAGAAGAAAAGTCTTACGCTCTTCTGACAATGGGGGTTTGATATGACGCTGATGCTGCCAGATGATTTTTAGATTGAGAAAAAAAATCGCACAACACAAAATGAAAAATTGCTCTTCATACCTTAAGTAAAAAAAACCCACATTTATTATTTGTAATTTTATATTATTAAAATAAAAAAGGTACATAATTATTCACTAATCAACAATTGTATATAATTATTCGCACTAGGTAAATCAGTCAGAATCGTTCATGTTACACTGCACTACTTTTCTCGCTAATCGCTTATGACGTCATCAGGGTGTCGTCTATAAAAAAAAAAACTTACTTAACCACGGCGCCCAGTGAACTGATTTTCGATGACGCGCTAAGGATGCGCCAGAGTTGATATATTAGATTTATTATGCGATGAAGATTTGATAACATTTTTTTAATTCATGTAGCTAATTATAGTTTTATGTTTCTAACATTTTGTTTTATTCGAATATCAATAATAATAGAAAAAAAAAAATAACAAGTTTGAGCTGAATTTTGGATATTTTTCAAGAAATCTTTGCCTCCCGCGTACAACACTAGCGGTCAACTATAGACGACGCATAGATAAGAGTGTATATACGGAAAAGACGACTTTGGCGTGCTGGACATAGTATTTTTGCTAAGAGAAAAATCCATTTGTTTTAGTTCAATGTTTCTTAGTACACTTGTGGCTCTAGGAGACTTGTTTTTTATATTCACATGTTGCTGGGTTATTCTTTTTTGAGGAGTGTGGAATTAAAATACCACTAATAGTTTTCCAATATGTATATTTCATATTTTTGTGGGCCGGGTTTTTTGTCGACTATAGACGTCGTTGGCGCTCAGGGCCCGCAGGTGCTTGTCAAGTATAGACGACTTTGGCGGTCAAAAGGGACCAGTTCCTATTAACGAGAAGAAAAAAAAAGATTGTCTCTCTTAGATTATATTGATCCAAGTGTTCATGATTACTATCGTAACTTACCGACTAATAATAACTTGTACGTGATATTGATCTTGATATTTTATCAGAAAATGAATAATGGCAAAATAACCCAATCTATTATGATTATTATAGTAACATGCCGAATAAAAGTAATGAGTACAAAAATAATAAATGATGACACTTAAGCGATTACATGAATAAAGAGGTTTACTTTACATTTTATACATACTGCTTTTTTTAAAAACTATTCGTATGAAATAGCTCCCACTACAGAATTACTAATATTTATTTATATTATTGTTTTTGCCCATATGAATAGCGCTTTAATATTTTTAAGTTATAATGTATCGTAATAAAGTTCGTTTTATATCACTATTCACTATTTTTTTAAGTTTAGTAAGAGTTTACTCCTTTTAAGTAAAATTTTATAACGTTATTCCTAAATTTCACATAATCAAATTTTTTGGCACACAAATTAACAAGCATTTATTAGATTTATTGCACAACTTTTTCATTTTATTAAATTTATAAAAGAAAAAATTGAATTAAATGCCTGTTTATTTCTCAACTCTGAACCACTAAGCATTGTGTAAAATTTTAAAGTCAAGTTAATTTACACAAAATAAATAAATAAATTAAAATTGTGTATAGTGATATAAACGGACATTTTATTTGTATTTTTGGTAAACTATTTACAATAATTTCTCTTTTCATACAGTACAATATTTTTTGAGTTAAAATTCATCTACCAAAATAACTTATTCTGATGAAAATTTAGAAAAAATACAGTGAGAATTTATTAAAACTTTGAATTTAATTTTTTTTAAACTATAATTTTCGAATTAATGTACTTTTCACTGATGGTACACACTAAATAAACAGAATTATCGATCGATCTATCTTGTCCGGAGACAAGATTTTCAAAAATACAAGACTCAGTTCTTTCCCATTTTGATGAAGTCATAATAAAAATGCGAAAGATGTATATGTTTTACAAATTAAATCTCAACATCGTGATTAACAAAAATATACATCTACTTACAGCGACATCTCGTGATTAGTTTTAGAACTACATTTATTTTTAAGTACCAATCTAGGCACACTACATACGTTTAGAGCTTATGATAAAACAACTATTTACAGTACATACTTGGCTTATTATTTCTTTGTATTTGAATTATAGTCTGAAAAATATGAATTTAATCAATCTCTACAAGGAGCGACACTGAACATCTTGTAATGTTTACCTATTAGCAATTTTGTTATTTTTAATTTTAACAATTTATATAATGACTAAATAGCCACTAACATCATTGTTATAATAAATTGTAAAAGATATGCTGGCCATTTTAATTTTTGTAGCAAGAAGATAGTTCTGTAATCAAGAAAAATGAGCGTTGGCTTTCCCAATTAAAACGTCAGAGGCTAATGTAGTCGCGATTTATGGAGATATGTGTTCAGCAGTGGTCTTTAAAGAGCGGCCATCTCTTAAGTTATGATTACATAGTATAAGAGATGTCACATAAACAAAATCACAGCATAAAACTGATACGTGGTAGGGCCATGCCGCAGCTATATTATTAGTAGTATAGTTATATGTCGGCTCGACCGGCGAAGGACCACGTTGTCACAGAATACCAGCGTAAAATGGCAGCTTGATACGGCTGTGTTTCGTACGGTGAGTGTAGAGAACCGGAGATCCATTTTACTGGAAAAGAGGCATTCCATCTTAGTGCTCACGGGTGACGACGCATCTGCATTTTGTTTCTCTATTGAGGATAAATGTAGATGTCTATGGGCCACAGCAACCACTTACCATCAGGTACTGTGTACTTGTTTGTCACCCTATCATATAAAAGAAAAAAAAAGTCAGAATTAAATTTCAACAAATTTTTTTCGCTCTACGTGGGTGATTGGAGTGTTAAATTAAATAATGTTTGTAAAATACATTTTTATTAGAGTAGTATGTAAATAAATTATTAACAATTTTATAATTCATAATTATAACAATTTTTTAACATTTTGTTTAATATAAATTCATATTTAACCGATAAATAAATATAATATTATTATTATATATATATATTGAAAGGCATTTTTGCTTTTATCACTGGTTCGGAAAAAACCTCTATCTTGGAAAGAACCAGCAGGAAGCCTAACGGGACTAGTTATTTAAACAATAATTTACAATGTATTAGGTTGTACAATTACATATGGAAACATTTAAAAACAGCATGATGGCGTCCACCTCATTACCCTGAGGCTATTATCAATCATATACTCTTTAGTAGTATAATAATTCTTAATAAACAATTTTTGCTTAATGAATATCTATAATAATAATTAATCTATTTAATATATTTTAATATGCTGTATAGAAAATACTGTTGCAGTAACAGTGTTTTAGGTAATAAGTTCATCACTATTATAGTATATTTTAGTAAATTCATACCGGTAACCGTTTAAATGTTAAATGTATAAAACTCTTACTCTAAAAACATAATATCACATAATAAACAATATCTATTATCATTGTTAATGTCAACAATTACATATTTTTATAAATAATATAAAACAGTAATAAATCATAATTTAAATTGTCATAAATTAATCACCTTATATAACGTCAACAGGTATCTACAAATTTGTATTAATTTAAAATAATTAGCACCTACATTTGTCACCTTCTTAGATATTCCTCCAAAATTTTAAGTTGATCCCAACATACCAACAACAAAACTGTATGCGGTCCCAAGCGTAGATAATTAGCACCGACTCCCTTATAAAATGCACTTGCTCCTTCAGATCTTAACATTTTGAGGAAGCAATCAGCCATGCCGCGGTATAACTTGCCTCTGTTGTTGTTATCAAGCGCTGGAAAAAAAATTGTGAATGTACAAATAGCCTCATTTTATGCTAAGCTACTAACAACCGAATACGGTCAAATTTTTAACGGCTTGACAAACATTTGAGACTTTCCTAAACACTATATTGACTGTTTTGTTGGTCTAGTGATCCCTGGTTCAAATCCCATAATCAGTCATTGATTTTTTTTCTAGAAATTCCCAGCAACAGCCCAGACTCATAGGCGGTTTTTTATTTTACCACCCCGTGCCTCGGAAAGCACGTAAAGCTGTTGGGCCCTGCGCCTGATCCAGCTAGTTTTGTCTTGACTGTGAGAGTGAGGGAATATAGTGCACCTGTGTTACACATTCATGTACTATAATCCTGTCCTGCGCAGATGTCTAGTCTCCGTTGAGACTAAAGTTGTTAAAAACTAATTTGCTTATATCAATAATTATTATGGACAGTGGTGTCTTTCCTAGTGTAGTGTTGTTGGGAATAGAGCACGCAATTACGGGAGGGCGGGAGGTGCTCTTCAAACTAGGTAAGACTCATAATTTTATTTCATTACGCGGATATAAGTTTATAGATTTTCGCAAAGTAACATTTGATTTTATTAATTATCGGTTGAGAGTGGCTGCCGTGACCGAAATTCGGTCTTGAAGATATTATTATACACTCTTTATCCGTACTCTCCTAGCTCCTAGACATGCTGATTGCAAGTTTTTATAGTTGTAGCACGAATTTACGTGGTAGAGCCATGCTGCAGCTATATTACTGGTATAGTTGTAGCACGAATGGGTCGGCTCGATCGGGGAAGGATCACGCTCTCACAGAATACCAGTGTAAAATAGGAGCTTAACGCTGCTGTGTTTCCTATGGTGAGAGTAGAGAATGGAGACCCTTTTTACTGGAAACGAGCCATTCCATCTTAGTCCTCAGGGGTTGCAACGCATCTGCATTTTGATTCTTAACCGAGGATAGATGTACATGTCTATGGACCACAGCAACCACTTACCATCAGGTGGACTGTGTGCTCGTTTGTCACCCTAATTCAATAAAAAAAAGTGTAGATGAAAGCACTTGCTTCATCTTGGTGTTTCGACGTTACTTGTCCGCTCTCCATACCTTGTCGGTTTTTACTCTCTAATCAACGGATCCCGCGACACTAATTGCGAGTGCGCTCCTGTACACTCTTTAATCTCGTCCGGACTCAATGACCGTGAGTAATAAAAACTACATACTTTGTTCGATTTGGATGCATTGTACATCTCTAAATATTTGTAATAACTGATGGCGCACCGAGCAACGGCACATCAAACAAACACTGAAACCCATCCAGTTCATCTTATTAGAGTTCACGACTACCATTAAATGAATGAAAATCCACGACTTTTTCTGCCACCAGTGCGGCGCCACTTAAAAGTGAGGTATAATATTTAACAGATTACATAGCAGTGAAGTTAATTTGGTCGGATAATTTATTATATTAATGTTTCTTTCTGCACTATTAGCTATATTTTATATTAATAAGGATAAAAATAAATAAACTAAACCACAGATATTCATAAAAGAAGAAGAATCAAAAAAAGTTTAAAATGTGCAAAAAATTAAAGAGCAAACCACTGACGCATTGTTTTGTATATTAATATTAGGTCCTTACATATGAAATTAGCGTTTTGTCGTACTGACCACTTTGATCTGAAATATCTCCTCTTTGGTTAAGAATTCTAAATTCAAATGTATAAATTCATTTAGCTGGTACATTAGAATTTTGAAAACAGTCATTCATTTGTTTTTTCCTCATTATTTTTTTCTTTGGCGTTGCTTATTACCGCACAATGGAAAACATGAAATATCGGTATTTTTACGAATACGAGTTCTACCGTGGCACCAGTGCTGCAGAAACAGATCGAAGGATTAATGATGTGTACGGCGCTGGTGTCGCAAAAGAAAGCACGGTACGTTTTTGGTTTCAACGTTTTCGTTCTGGAAATTTCGACCTTCAGAACCAAACCAGTGGACGGCCGGACACCAAAGTGGAAAATGAAGAATTAAAGGCTATTGTGGAAGCGGTTCCATCACAAAGCACTTCAGAGACAGCTGCAGGCTTCGGGGTAAGTGGTAAAACTGTATTAATCCACTTGAAGCAAATCGGGAAAGTAAAAAAACTTGAACGATGGGTACCTCATGAATTGAGTGAATCGAACTTGCAAACACGCGTCGTCTGCTGTGTTACTTTGCTCAACCGACACAATAATGAAGGGATTTTAAATCAAATCATTACTTGTTATGAAAAATGGATACTGTATGATAATCGGAAGCGCTTGTCGCAATGGCTGAACCTTGGAGACCTAGCCAAATCTTGCTCTAAGCGAAAATTGACTCAGAAAAATTTACTTGTGAGTATTTGGTGGACTAGCGCCGATGTCGTTCACTACAGCTTTCTAAAATCTAGCCAAACGATTACTGCAGATATCTATTGTCAACAACTGCAAACCATGAAGAAAGAACTAGCTGCTAAACAACCGAGATTGGTCAATCGCCCTAGGCCACTGCTGCTTTACGACAACGCAAGACCACAACACTGCACAACAAACAACCTCTGAGTTAGATGAGCTACAATTGGAATGTCTGCGACATCCAACGTACTCCCCGGACCTTGCTTCAACAGATTACCCTTTTTTTCGGAATTTGGACAACTTCTTACAAGGAAAAAAATTCAACTCCAATGCGGAAGTCCAAACCGCTTTCAAAGAGTTTATTGATTCTCTCCCCCATGGAGTTTGATGAATGAGAGTGCGTAGATAACAACGGTGCATACTTTGATTAATTAAATATATTTTACAAAAAAAAATGACTTTATATTCCTCCCCTACAAAACAGCAATTTCATATGTAAGGACCTAAACTCTAGAAATTGATAAACTTTTATTAAATACTAACTTTTCAATTAAATGTCATTGTGTAAAAAAGCTTTACCTCAGTGTCAACTAGCGACATCTGGTGAGCAGAAAATTACTACCCATAATTGGGTGATCGTGGTCGCACTCGGGCACAAGCCTTTTCCGAGGCTCCTCGAGCGCAACTTATCGAGAGCTCATGCGAGATTGTACAACTGACATAAAATTTTAGTGTGTCTGAAATTGAGTTTTATTAGTACATGCTACCACTGGTATACTGATACGGAAATGTAACTCGTTTCAGCTGTCAAATTGATTTGAGCAGCCGTTTAGTGTGATATCGAGGTCTCACATATTTGTTACAAGACATATCTTTCCCTCATACAAGTTTAATTTCCCTCCGTCACCTCTAACGATACCCACGGGATTGGGTTATAATATTTTTAGGCCGCCGTTACTGAGCTGACAGTCACTGCAGTTTATTTTTAACCCCCAACTAAAATGAGGGGTGTTATATGTTTAATGTGCATATCTGTGTGTCTATCTGTGGCATCGTAGCTCCCAAACGGATGAATCAATTTAGATTTAGTTTTTTTTGTTTGAAAGGTGACTTGATCGAGTGTTCTTAGCTATGATTCAAGAAACATTTTTCATCCGTTTGAAAGATCATCAGCTCTTTTTGTTTCGGGGGTTTAATTTTTTAAATTTTTAATTTAAGTTATCATGTAAGTTAATAGGTGACATACATTTTGTTAATAATGTAACAGTCCAATTATAAAGTTGTCGGTTAATTCTTACGTTGATTAGAAAGCCTTGTAGCCATCACGTCGAAGGGATTGAGACAAATGGTCATAACGATTCCGCCAAGGTTGGCGCCGAGGAACGACAGCATAAGCGGTGAGTTGGCATAGATCCCACAGTCCCGCAGCCACTGCTTCGCGTGCCCGAAGCTCACCATCTGTGAACTGCTGCCCACAGCCCCACGCGGGATCTGCGGGTGAACACCACGGAAAAGACCTGAAATTGGAAAGATATAATTGAAAATTTCTTAACATAATTTTGTAAGTTACAGTTAGTTGTAAGTACAAGGTTTACCGTGTAGTGGCAGTGTAAGAATATCCACTACCCCATATCGCCCCGTGGGTGGCGTAAAACGTGATAGAAAGAAACAAATCAGGAAATAGGCAGCAGTGTTTTCCTAATAACAAATGAACAATAAAAAACTGCGGTTGCCAACCCGCCTGCTAAGCGTGGTAACTATGGCAAATATCCTCTATATGAGGCAGTCTATGGGGAAGGCCTTTATTGTGGACTTTTGTTAGGCTGTAACGGTCAAGCACTTAATATCTGTAGTCAAACTGTCATTTCAAAATGTTGCCATTAAATAATTACTTTTTTTTTATAAGATAATGGTGACAAACGAGCACTCATTTCACCTGATGGTAAGTGGATGCAGTGGCCCATAGACATCTATATTTATCCCTAATTAAGAATCGCAATGCAGATGCGTTGTCGCCCCTGAGGACTGAGAAGGAATGCTTTGGTTCCAGTAAAAAGGATCTCTAGTTCTCTACACTCACCATACGAAACACAGCAGCATTAACCTGCTATTTTACGCTGGTATTCTGTAAGAGCGTGGTCCTTCCCCGGTCGAGCCGAACCATTCATGCTACAACCAGTATATAGATGTAGTGTGGCTCTACCGAGCTTTACTTGAAACAAGGCATTCCATCTTAGTCCTCAAGGGTGACAACGCATCTGCATCGTTTGTCACTCTTATTATTACTCTATAAAAACTACAAAATAATTTTAAAGTTGCAAACAAAAAACATATAATTATTTTTAATGCAAACCTTTAACTCCCTCATTCTTGTAGATGTCGGAAAGTGCATTAAGCATCCCACTATGTTTGTGCTGATGCCCTACGGCTATGGCTTTAGCAGCTTGAGCTTGCAGCCTGGTCTTCACTAGAAAGAACGGTGTTCCCGCTATAGAGCCCAGTGCTCCACCAAGCCCCGCCGCCACGGCTCCACGCAACGCCGATATACGGCCATCTGGTCCAGTGATAAAGCCTCTACGTTCCGATATACGGTACACGCCCAATCTGGAACACGTAAATTTTACCATTACAGAACGCTATTTATTATCTATAATACGTAAAGGGTTTGCAGACACAATAGTAAGTCAATAGCAATGAATTACATGTAATGCACGGGACAGGCAAAGGGTTAATCACATTGCGCCCACGGAGGAGTGTGAGATTTGGTATAGTTAAAGTTTATATAGAGAAAGAGTGCAGAAAGCTAACATTTATATACAACATGTGTTGTATATACATAGAATAAAATATACATTAGCGAACCGCCCCGGCTTCGCACGGATTATTTACAGATGTCGACAACAGCGCCAACTAAAAATCAATTCCAGCCGTTTTCTAGTTTTAGCGAGACTAACGAACACTAATAGATTTTTATATATAGAGATTAGTGGTCGCCAATCGGTCGAAATTTGACTATAATTCATAAAATGTTTAAGTTTGTATATTAAACAAGCTGTATTTTACTTTCAACTTCACAATAACAAACAAAGACTTCTATTTGTACAACTAGATTACTCTAAGGCCAAGGTCAAGCACTTAATATCTGTAGTCAAACTGTCATTTCAAAATGTTGCCATTAAATAATTACTTTTTTTATAGAATAAGGGTGACAAACGAGCACACAGTCCACCTGATGGTAAGTGGTTGCTGTGGCCCATAGACATCTACATTTATCTTGGTTTGCGAATTAAAATGCAGATGCGTTGTCAGCCGTGAGGACTAAGATAGAATGCCTCTTTTCCAGTAAAATGGGTCTCCGGTTCTCTACACTCACCATACGAAACACAACAACATTAAGCTGCTATTTTACGCGGGTGTTCTGTGTGAGCGTGGTCCTTCCCCGGTCCCCCGGTCGAGCCGGTCGAACCCATTTGTGCTACAACTATACTATTAATAATAAAAATAGGCCAGTATAATTACAGGCTGTGGCTATCTTAGTCCGCAGTGATGATAACGCATATATAACCTTCTTTGTTTGAAGTTTGTCGCAGATATCCATGAACTGCGGTAGTCATCATCAGATAGGCTGTAAGTTCGTTTGTCACTTCAGTTTTATAAAAAAAAACTTGTTCACTAGTTACCTGAATGTGTTCAAGAAAAATTGAAATCCAAGCATTGCTGGTAATCCACTCTGCAAAGCTACGAGCCCCTCATTTCTGGCAATAACAAATAACCCGTGCGGCACGTTTTTGTAAAACACAGAATGATTGCCTCGAGCAGCGAGTTCCCCTTGCAATTGCAGACGAGTCTTCACTACTTCAATAGGGTTGGTGAAAAGGGTTGCGAACATAGCTGATATGCCGCCCATCGCCATGTCTGTGATGTCGCGTTCAACGCCATCTTTTTTTGGTTTGCTGGTATTTTGCACTATTTTCATTTCTGTAAGCTTGCGCTCGGATCTGGAAAGGAAAACTGTATTTATTTTAATAAGCCTTTTGTACTAATTTATTCGACGTGGTAGACATGCTGCAGTACGAATGGGTCGGCTCATCAGGTTGGGTTGATATGGACATCATTGCTAAATGTGCGTGCACACACACACACACACACACACAAACACGCGCGCACACACACACACACACACACACACGCACGCACGCACGCACACACTAACACACACACACACACACACACACACACACAGGCCCGCTTCAATACCAATATTTAAAGAGCGCCGGCAGTCAAGGTCTCATCCCCCCCCCCCCCCTCACACGCACGCGCGAGCAGTACTTGTTATATAATTTATACAAAACGCCATCACATTCAGAGCACTTTTACCATACCCACAACATTCAATACATTTTGGGACATCTGCATACATTCCAATTGACAATAAAAAATATTTTGATAGTTTGCATGTATTATTTAGATGTAATTTGAATTTTTACTGATACTAACAGATTAGTAAAAATTCAAAATTTTACTATACTATACCACCTGTCTACAAATTTCTGCTTAAATTCAGTGCTAGCCAGACGTGTTGTTGCGGAAATTCATTATTTTAAATATCATTAAACGAAATGGGATCCGCAATGTGTTCCCACGACATCTTGTACGGCACAAATAGCAACACCCACATGCCCACATCACCATCCAATATTCATCGTAACCCGGAAGCGGAGAGTGTATGTAAATTCTGCGTATTCGCTGAACGAAAAATATCTATGTTCCGCATTTGAAAATAAATGATGTGTCTTACCTACTCTGAGCACATTCCGACCTCTCTCAATTGCGTGCGCTATCACCGTCACCACTAATTCCAACACCACTACCGTAGGAAAGACACATCACCGTCGATAATATGAATACATTTTGATTGTATATGAGGCATCATCAGGATAAATAGGTTATGCGTTGGATTTACAAGTTAAAATCAAACTTTATGTAAGGTATAAATAATTGAAGTTAAAATATGATATGTATAAAATATTTGATATAGCAATGTTTTGTAGCTAATATCAAAAGCTTTAGCATATGAAGTAATACACTGTACTGCACTGAGCCTTCCCAAACAGTAAAATACCTAGTATTAAGAATATATAGACATGCAATTTAATTGCGGGTATCGAACGAAATTTTGAAATTTAAGAAGAAAACTTATCCATGTTAAAGACAAGCACCTAGCAGTCATCAGCAGCAGCATCAAATGAACTATTGATCCAAAAAACAATTAATATAAGATTTAAAATTTCAAATCGACATAAATAAAACACTTTTTACAATGTCAACCAACTTATTCTCTTTATTTTTAGTCATACTACATTTTAACGCCCATTTAATAAACAACAAATAAAGAAAACAATAAACAATTAATAAAAATTATCTATAAACTCTATTAACACCGATAACAAGTAATTGCACTTAACACTAATAAATACTAAATAACAATATGATGTAATCTTTACAACTTTTAATCATGTGTGGCACTAAATGCTTTATCATTATTTATCTAATGCTAATAAGTAAAAACTTGAACCACTTTAGTGGTTTACATAAATAATTGAGCTATCATATCGTAGATATTGTTCTCAAAACAAACATATTACAAAAACAATTTTAAATAACAAAAACTTTAGTAATTTTAGGCCTCATAGGCTTTTTATATATTGTGTTACATGCCAAGAGGCAAGATAAACATCATATTTTATCACTGTAAGTATATTTGTGTCTTACATAAGTTTATTGTTAATACAAACATGGTATGTTGGCGTGGCCTTTATAATAGATAAGCCATGATGGCAGTGTGATTGTAAAATTTTATTCTTAATATATGTATTAATACTGTATTTTAGGAAGCGGGCAGGAGCGGATGAAATGTCGACAGCGCCTTCGGCTAACACCTTATCGGCGTCCTTCTGGCGGCCATATAGTATAAATTATAACTGCTCATTTTGCAAATAAACTATATTATAATTTATTTTACAGTTTAGTTGCAAAATAATTTCGACATGTGTATCCTAAACAGGTGGGTATAAACGGAAACTGTGATGAGAGAGTGAAGGCGATATAGGAATAATCGCGTACACTATATTTTTTTCGTTTAAATACTTACTAGGCACGTGCCCGTAGGCACGTGCCTAGTTTGCCTTAAGGCTAATCCGCCACTCGAAGTGCGTGGTTTTATGTTTTTCAGGTACTAATCGTGTATGTAGGTAAATATAAATAACAATAGCTATTAAGTACAGCAGCTTTTAGTTATGATTTATAAATAACAATGACCAATTTTCATAAATAAAATATTAAGGTAACGAGATAATATACAATAAAAATGTGGAGTTACCTATGTAAACAATTAAAATACTTAGCAATAAGTAATACAATAAGAATATGTAAGAGATTCTAGTAGCTGTTAATCTCATATTGGTAAATTTAATGTAGTTTCACAACCTTCACAATCCCAATGTGTTTTGTAAATCTTTCAACATATCCCAGAAAACTAAAAGAAGCACTGTATGTGGTGCTTGTCTTAGGTACGAAGGGCCAATTCCTTTGTAGAAAGCTAAAAGGCCTTCGGTTTTGGTAATTTTTCGAGCACAATCCAGTATTCCAGAGTAAAGAAGTCCACGTCCATTTGCATCTGTGGCTGTAAATAATGAATTGAAATTAAATTAAAAAATTGGATATCGTGTGTGAATGTCCAAGTTTTGGTTAATTTGTTGAGGGCATCCATCACTTTATTACCCCTTTAAGTGTTGTTGTTGGGTAAAGTAGAATTTTTTTAAGTATATCTAACAAACAGTCAAAAAAATTTTCATCAAAAATTCAAACTAATGTTAGAACATCAAATATCATATTATGTATGTGAAGTGTAGCATTAAAAGCAAACAAAGGAGTCTTAGCAGTGGGATTTTGTGAAAACAATATTTTCAATATTTGAACAGCATATTATAACAAGAAATAAATTACTAATTTTCAGATGTGGTAGAGCCACGCGGCAGCTTTTGCTGTCGCACGGATGGGCCGGCTCGAACTGGGGTAGTACCACGACCTCACAGAAAACCAGCGTGAAGTAGAGATTTACCTCTGCGTTTCGCTTGGTAAGTGCAGGTGGCCAGAGGCCCTTTTTACTGGAAATGAGGCATTCCATCTTAGTCCTCACGGGTGACAACGCATCTACATTTTGATTTGTAATAGAGGATAGATGTAGATGTCTATGGGCCTCAGCAACCACTTACCATCAGGTGGACTGTGTGCTCGTTTGTCACCCTTATTCTATTAAAAAAAAAAGATCTGGTAACTAGTGGAATATTTTTTTTTAATTGCAACTCACCTTGATTGTAAAGACGAGTCATTATGACATCCATAGGAGTAAGGGCAATGGTCTTCATGACAGCCCCAATGTTACTAGCTATGAATGCAGAGAGGTATTTAGACTGCTGAAATATATTGTTATTGTCCATCCACTCTTTACACCTGAAAATAATAATTTATGCAATGAAACTACATCTCTAGGATTTTGTAGTTTTTAGTTAATAGTATGTGAACTGCACTCTTAATTGTTTCTTAAAATTAATTGTGTAAATATCATGGTCGTAGCATGAATGGGTCGGCTCAACCTGGGAAGGACTGTACTCTTACAGAATAATAGCGTAAAATAGCAGCTGTGTTTTCTATGGTAAGTATAGAGAACTGGAAACCATTTTTACAGGAAACAACATATTCCATCTTAGTCCGCATGGGTGACAATGAATCTGCATTTTGATTCCTAATCGAGGATAAATCTAGTTTTAATGGGCTACGGCCTCCAATTACCATCAGGTGGACTGTGTTTGTTTGTAACCCTTATTCAGCTTAAGCAGCCATAATATAATTAAAGAATTATTTGCCTATTAAAAATAAACATTACACATAAAATACATATTTGTTGGTATGTCTGTTAGTGATTGAGTAACTACTGAATAATAAATATTCGATTAAGGTCATTTTAGATCCAATAGATGGCGCTGAAGTTAAGCTATTAACAAATTCTATATATAGGACCAAAATAACTCATATTCACAATTTATGAATATTTAGTGCCAAAAAAGAAAATCACGAGATCTGGACCAGATGGAATGTTGTAGTCGAAATATCCATAAATTTTATATTTACATTATAAAAATTCAGGAGTGAATTCCTAGTGATACTAATTACACCACCTCCCGGAAAATAAAATATATATATTCCTTTTGGTTTAGGGAACTTTATTACTTATTACCGTATTCTGTAATACTTTAAATAGATACTTACACAACATAAGAAGCTATCTGTGATGCAGAACCAATAGAATTTCTGATCATCATTCCATGTGCTCCCCGTCATAATGCTCTCAAACCATTCTTTCTATATATCTTCACCATAGCGTATATCATACCTTTGTGTGCATGTTGTGTACCAACAGCTATCTTTTCAGACGAGAATGACATCAATTGTGTCTTAACTAATTGCAATGGGCTACCGAAAAATGCTCCTACCATTCCGGAAAAAGAGCCAAAAAACAGACTGTTCATAAATTTTGTATTTTTCTCCTCATCTCGCAAGAGGCCATAATTGTCTGCATGTTGATATATACCAAGTCTGTAATTATTTAATTATTAAATGTTATAAGGCTCCACAAAAGAAGTTATAAATATGTGAATAAATATTGGTAGAGACAGACTAGTCCCTGTGTGCAACATATGCAATGAGTTATGACATCTGGACTCTTGATTTTGTAAGAAAAAATCTTGCGCTTCTGTCGCAACGTTGACCCAGACCCCATTTCCAGAGCGGCATGGACAGATGAAGTAGATGTTTGTTTTCAATCCCACTAGTCTTGTGCCTGTTTGGTTATTTTAAAAATCGCTCCATACTAATTAATTTTGGACAGTGAACTAGTTAATTCTATTAGTTCTATTT